GGTGGGGGGGGGGGGGGGGGGGGGGGGGGGGGGGGGGGGGGGGGGGGGGGGGGGGGGGGGTGGGGGGGGGTGGGGGGGGGGGGGGGGGTGGGGGTGGGTGTGTGGGTGGGTGTGGGTGTGGGTGTGGGTGTGGGTGTGGGTGTGAGGTGTGGGTGTGGGTGTGGGTGTGAGGTGTGGGTGTGGATGCTGGTGAAGGTGTTTGTCTTCTCTTTATCCATGCCCACACTCTGATTCGGTCATTTATGAAGGTGAAAGTCCGATCTCATGATGTTATGTTTTTTTACCTTTGATCCGGCATAAACACACATGGCTACAAACGCATTTTAATTTTTTTCCATATGATCCTCCCTTCAGTCGAGAGAATCACAAAAAAGCATTGATAACTGATCAAGAACAACAATGTTTTAAGTAGTTTGTTGGATTGTTGTTTTTTTAATCCGAAAAGACTTGGTGTTGGTAGTAACTGGAACCAATGTGAACAGTGGACAGACCAGTTTGAGGATCTTTGATGACATTGTTTCGTTTGGCAGCAATGGACCAGATCACTTAATTACCTTCGGTGGCAGTCACACATTTGGCACCGGGAAATAATGGTTCAAAAACTACTTTCGCTTCAGCGTTGGTTGGAATGGTAATTCGAAGTAAAATGAAGTTAGCAAATGTATCACGTTCATCATGAGTGTAAGAAACATCGACTAAGCCATACAATGTACTCAATTGAGAATCAATTTTACTTAGAAGATGTTCCTTTTCTTCAGAGACCATCCGAGGACGAATAACAATCAACTCCGATTGAAGATCAATACCGGCTAAATGCGAATAGAACCAAGCACCGACACTTGCAAACATATGATGATGACGAGAGTCCATGCTCAGATCTCCGAATGGTGCATTCCATAATTCCCAGAGAGTTGTGGGATTTTCATACGGAGTGTTAAACATGAAACCATATGATGGGTAATTGATCGATGTAATCAATTCCATAGCAAGATCATGATGACCATTATCCTATGGTAATGAATACAGTTGAGCTGTGGAGACAATACTTGTCGAGACATGATTTCCTTTGGCTTGGATATCTTGAAGTAAATGTTGAAGAACACCATTGAGAACATTCGCTGGAACCATATTGGGCAAAGCCAATGCAAGAATCTGTGCCGCTTGAATTCCGTCAGCATAGTAACCAGCGGAAGCCTTGAAAAAGATCCGATGAAACTCCTCTGCTAATCGTTGATAGAAAGCTACATACGCTTGAGTATCATTGCTGTAACCAAGGATTTGTGACATATTGATCAATAATGAAACATCATGAAGAAACGCGAATGAAGCAACGAGATGACCGTTGGTCTTTGGTTGCGGTGAAACCCAATCACCGTAATGATAGATCAGTTCAACTAAACCTGTTATTCAATAACCATCGCGAACCGATTCGACATAAGCACGAATCGACGCGCAATGATCTCGAAGAATTTGAATGTCGTTGTAATGACGATACAATTGCCAAGTAATAGTTGGTAAAGCTGTGCCCCAATTAGGGTCAGTTGGATTAATACCGAATGTCAGTGGAACAGTATCGGGAACGAAGCCAGCTTTCAATTGGATGTCCATAATCAAAGTGAGAAAGTTCAAGTGGAATTTAATCAGATCAAAGTTGTACAGGGCTTCATTGACTGACAGAGCAGCATTACTCATCCATCCTTTACGTTCATCACGCTGTGGGCTAATTAAGAAGAAAGTAAAATATTCTTCATACTGAAAGGTTCTCGATCATACCAGTCGATGGGTAGTGACATTGAGTTACCCAATTGACCCTATAAGATGTTGTATTGAATTTGATTGATCACAGGATTACTGGAAGAGAAATATCTTTTGACCGTGGTTCCACTATGAACAACCAGACATTGGACATCATTGATCAATAATGGAGTGGGTGAATCAAAAATCGTTAAGTAATGACAACCGTGGACCGTAAATCTAATCAAATCCGATGCTCGATATAGATCGAAAACAACGGCATCAAGTCTTACTGTGGTTCATAAATTTCACCGTTGGGATCGCCACTAAGAATATACGTATCACTTTGAGTTGCTCCACGAAGATTGTCCCTATAAAGTCCACCATCGGATTGACTGAAACAGCAATGACGGATAGACACAGAATGAAGAACTGAGTTTTTACATAGCCTGTGGAGACAACCGGCTGAGACAAGACTGCAGCATGGCGAATGTAAATACTGACACCACGTGGCCCACGAAATTTGAATCGACACCAACCGACCATATTTTGTTCCATATCGAATGTATGAACATTGAAAAAAGGTGTTGAGACACTGATCGGTTTCAAGACTCTTCCGTCTTTCAACGAGGCACCAAAAATATTTCCGATCTCTTCCTTCGATAAATAGCTTTTTTTCTCATCAACACCATGTTCCACTTCGAAACGCAGAGCATCGAGTCCCGCTCGAATCAGTGGCATGTCTTGAAGAGTCAGTTGACCATTGGTGGCAATATTCACCGGTGATGAAAGGATTTCTGGTGTGATCCACAGAGATAATGAATCATTGAATCCTACTTGTGCCCAGTTAACATGATCATAACGAGCATCAACTATTTCACCATTATAAACACTATCATGAATAATCGATCCTTGTCGACCTTTCCATGTTTGATCACTGTAAACGTTCATTTGATCAGTGTCTTCGAAAATAACATGTAAAACAAACATCAGACGTGATGGACCTATGAGGAACACATAGAGACTTCTACGTTCAGTGTTTTTTTAGTCTTACCATAGTTAGGTTCAGATATTGACTGTACCAACCATTGCCTAATTTTACACCGACAGCATTCATACCGACTTTGATCTTGGAGGTCACATCATAAGAAACGAAGAATGTTCGTTTTTGATAAGTGGTCCATCCAGGATCCAATTTTCGACTAAGATCAATGTTATCAGCATTCAAATACATTTCATAATAACCAATACCCGAAATGAAAACAGTGGCCGATCGAATTGGACTTGTATTTGAAACATTGAATTCTTTTCTTAACTCATGCATGTAAATTTGAGTTGAACCAATCCAATTGACTTGATTATTATGAATCATTAAGTATTGATGAAAATTATACATCGATGTTCGAAATGGAATCCACGATATCCATGGTGTTGCTGCTTCGGATACACTGATTCATAGACGAAGACGAAATTGATAATGAGTAGGGATGTGCAGTTCCAGTATACTGACCACCGACCAAGTCCCAGTGACGATGCACTGAGCGCTGGCTAGTACTGACACTGATCTCTACCGGCTACAGTCACTGCACCGACACAGCGTTAACTGACATGGCGTCTACACCGACGCTGATCCTCACTGACTATACCGGCAACACCGATATATATGTTCACCGACGCTCACCGATTATACTGATGACACTGACACTGATGCACACTGACTATAATGACAACATTGATATAGATATTCACTGGTGTTCAATGACTATAATGATGACACTGACAAGTGCGCTCACTCAACCAGTGACTACATTGATACGGTATTGTCAAACCTGAAAGTTGAATTCAATTATTGANTGCTAGAAGCAACTTGGGCACGAACTAACTTAGGGTATATCACTCCTAGCTATGCCCTATCTAACCATCATATCCCCGACTGAAAAGCTTTTTGACACCTCGGGTGGTTCCCTCGTTAGAAGATGTTTCTTTTCTTCAGAGACCATTCGTGGACGAATAACAATCAAGTCCGATTGAAGATCGATACCAGCTAAATGTGAATAAAACCAAGCACCAACACTTGCAAACATATGATGATTACGAGAGTTCATGCTCGGACCTTCGAATGGTGCATTCCATAATTCCCAGATAGTTGTGGCATTTTCATATGGATTGTTAAACATGAAACCATACGATGGATAAGTGGTGGATGTAATCAATTCCATAGCAAGATCGTGATGACCATTATCCGATAGTAATGGATACAGTTGAGCTGTGGAGACAATACCCGTCGAGACATGATTTCCTTTAGCTTGGATATCTTGAACTAAATATTGAAGAACACTATCGCGAACGTTCGCTGGAACTACATTGGGTAAAGCCAATGCGAGAACCTGTGCCGCTTGCATTCCGTCAGTATAGTAACCAGCGGAAGACTTGAAAAAGGCCCGATGAAATTCTTCTGCTAATCGCTGATAGAAAGTTGTATACTCATGAGTATCATGGCTGTAGCTAAGAATTTGAGACATATTGATCAATAATGAAACATCATGAAGAAACGCGAATGAAGCAACGAGATGACCCTCGGTCTTTGGCTGCGGTGGTGGTGGAACCCAATCACCGTAATGATAGATTAGTTTAGCTAAACCTGTTATTCGATAACCATCGCGAACCGATTCGACATAAGCACGAATCGACGCGTAATGATCTCGAAGAATCTGAATATCATTGTAATGACGATACAATTGCCAAGTAATGGTTGGTAAAGCTGTGCCCCAATTAGGATCAGCTGGATAAATGCCGAATGTCAGTGGAACAGTATCCGGAACGAAACCACCTTTCAATTGGATGTCCATAATCAAAGTGAGAAAGTTTAAGTAGAATTTAATCAAATCAAAGTTGTACAGAGCTTCATTGACTGACAGAGCGGCATCACCCATCCACCCTTTACGTTCATCACGTTGTGGGCTAATTAAGAAGAAAGTAAAATATTCTTCATGCTGAAAGGTTCTCGATCTTACCAGTCGGTGGGTAAAGACATTGAGTTACCCAATTGACCCCATAAGATGTTGTGTTGAATTTGATTGATCACAGGATTACTGGAAGAGAAATGTCCTTTGACTGTAGTTTCACTATGAACAATGAGACATTCGACATCATTAACCGATAACGAAGTGGGTGAACCAAAAACTGTTAAGTAACGGAAACCGTGGACCGTAAATCTAATAAATTCCGACGATCGGTGAAGATCGAAAACAACGACATCAAATCTTACCGTGGTTCATAACTTTCACCGTTGGGATCACCACGAAGAGTATAGATATCACTTTGAGTTGCTCCACGAAGGTTGTCCGTATAAAGTCCACCATAGGATTGACTGAAAACAGCAATGATGAATAGAGACAGAAAGAAAAGCGGAGTTTTCACTCACTTTGTGGAAACAACCGGTTGCGACAAAAGGGTGGGTGTGGGTGTGGGTGTGGGCGGGGTGGGGGTGTGGGTGTGGGTGTGTGTGGGTGTGGTGTGGGTGTGTGTGGGTGTGGTGTGGGTGTGTGTGGGTGTGGNATAAATTCCGACGATCGGTGAAGATCGAAAACAACGACATCAAATCTTACCGTGGTTCATAACTTTCACCGTTGGGATCACCACGAAGAATATAGATATCACTTTGAGTTGCTCCACGAAGGTTGTCCGTATAAAGTCCACCATAGGATTGACTGAAAACAGCAATGATGAATAGAGACAGAAAGAAGAGCGGAGTTTTCACTCACTTTGTGGAAACAACCGGTTGCGACAAAACTTCGGCATGGCGAATGTAAATACCGACACCACGTGGACCACGGAATTTGAATCGACACCAGCCGACCATATTTTGTCCCATATCGAATGTATAAACACCGAGGACAGGTGTTGAGACACTGATCGGTTGCAAGATTCCTCCGTCTTTCAACGAAGCACCAAGAATATTTCCGATTTCTTCCTTCAATAAATAGCTTTTCTTCTCATCAACACCATGCTCCACCTCGAAATGCAGAGCATCGGATCCCGCTCGAATCGGTGGCATGGCTTGAAGAGTTAGTTGTCCATTGGCGATGATATCCACTGGCGATGGAAGGATTTCTGGTGTGATCCAAAGAGATAATGAATCATTGAATCCAACTTGTGCCCAATTAGGACGATCATAACGAGCATCAACAAATTCACCATTGTAAACACTATCATGAATAATCGATCCTTGTCGGCCTTTCCATGTTTGATCACTATAAACGTTCATTTCATCAGAGTTTTCGAAGATAATCTGTAAGATAAACATCAGACGTGGTGGACCTATGAGAAACACATAAAGGCTTCTAAGTTCAGTTTTTTTAGTCTTACCATAATTAGGTTCAGGTATTGACGGTAGCAAATATTGTTCTTGACTGTACCAACCATTACCTAGTTTCACACCGACAGCATTCATACCTACTTTGATCTTGGAGGTCACATCATAAGAAACGAAGAGTGTTCGTTTTTGATAAGTGGTCCATCCAGGATCCAATTTTCGATTAGGATCAATGCTATCACCATTCAAATACATTTCATAATAACCAATACCCGAAATGAAAACAGTGGCCGATCGAATAGGACTTGTATCAGGAACACTGAATTCTTTTCGTAATTCATTCATGTAGATTTGAGTTGAACCAATCCAAAAGACTTCATCATTATAATCCATTAAGTATTGATGAAAATTGTATATCGATGTTCGAAATGGAATCCACGATGTCCATGGTGTTGCTGCTTCTGATACACTGCTCCAAAGACGAAGACGAACGTGATAATGAGTCAATTCTTCAAGATCCCTTTCGTATGGATAAGGAACATGAATCGATTGACTTGAATTGATACGGCCACTGTCCCGGAGAAGTACATTCTGCGACAGGATTTGAAGTTGATAGGCAATTTGTTGAACATTGCGTTGGCTGGTCAGAGGCAATTTCCAAGAAAAACGTGGTTGACCTTTGTTAATGACTAAATCTTTCGTTGTTTCAGCTTTATAATAATCGATTCGAACATCGTAAGATGCAGACAATCGATCGCCAGTGACGAAAACAACACCGAGTATTACTGTGTAATACAATGACCACATTCTAAATAGACTGGGAATTCGAGTTTTTTTTTTGTTCCTACGTAAATTAAAATCTTAAATAGTGTTTCTTTCGTTTATCTTATCAGAAAACTTCTTATCATTGAAACCAGGTATCGTCGCTTTGTTTTTATCGACAATATGATTTCTGTCGAAGAGAACGAAGAAAAAACGCGCTCGAAACGTTCGTATAGAGTACACGCAGAATAACGAGTTCATTGCACGTTCGAATGAGACCATTTTGAAGGATCAATGCGTGGGTGAGTCAAGCGAACTACAACCCGTTTCGTTCTTGCTTAATGGATTCTTCAGGTGACTCAGACTTCGTAGGAATCACTAATGCAAACCGTTCAGAGAGCGTGGAAAAGGAGAGTGTCTTTTGTATGATTTTCTTGGATTCTTAGGAGCTATAGATAATGTTGGCTTAGGTTGTGGGTGTGGATGTGGGTGCAGATTTACTTAGGATCCACACCTCCACCCACACCCCCACCTCAAGTTATCTTTGTACAAGAGTTGTTGTAAATATCTAATTTGATTAAATTAAAATTGTTTAAAGCACAATAAAAGAAAAAAATGTAGCATTTCTTATTTCATAATAACCTCGATAAAAATACTGATCACGAAAACATTGTGTAACAATCGAACGAAGACGTTGAATCTTTGATTTCTTAAAAAACAGAAGATTTATCTATGGATAAAAAAATATCAATAATCAACTGACATTTTCTCTTCGAAATATTATATCTCAATTGTCCGGTTGAATATCAGCAAGGGACTTCTATTGAGTTAATTAATAAACTAAAAAGAAAGCTTCAATCGTATAAACAAACCTCATTGAGTAATGTATCAGTAGCACAAATTAGTGAATGTTCAATAATTTCAAAATAATCAACAATTAATTCTTGATCATCTGACGCTCTGTGACCTTCAGGCACAGGACGTACTATACCACAAATGAATGTTCTTGCTTCAGTTGATAATATCACTACATCATTGATGGATCTTCAGTAATAGTGATTTCTTTGACTGTTTTCAAGTTTTCTTCACTTTGTAGTCGATCTTTTTCCTAATAATAAATTATAATCAAAGTGAAATAACACTTTTTTGTATTTTATTTTAACTTTTTCACTTGATATTTCGATAACAATATCCACTAACCTTGAATGACAAATGACGATCAAAATATTAAAAAACAATGGTTTCTCTAGTGATCCATTTCCATTTTCATCACTAACCTTTTTTTGCCGATGTATAAATGATTGATCCTTATGAATCATTCAAAAATTAATTCAACATCAATACTTCTTAACAATATTTACAAATAGAACAAGTTTCTTGTCGTTCTGCTACTACTTCCGATGAAGTTGTCATGCGTTAATATGAAAGAAAAAAAAATCTGTTAAAATGAAATGAATAACGACACAATAGGGTGTAAGTATGACTATTGCATCGTCTCCCTTCATACGATAACAAATATTGCAGTACACAGAAAAAATAAACTTTAATTTCACACAGTTTAAGGAGCGCCCTTCAGAAAATCTATTTGAGTGTGCATGTGAAGTTAAGTTAACAGAATGTCTACATTCGCACTCCACCCTGTTTCAAGTAATCATGAGAAAAAGCTTCTCTGACAATTTTTGGATACTTATGTCATATTATTTATTAAGACAATGTGTTACAGCATAATCCAGGTATATGGCAATGGAAATGAATACAGGATATGAAGAAAAATTTATTGTGATAAGATTAAAAAGCTTATTTGAGTACCATGAATAATCCTGTCGGGTATTTCAATGGCTTCTAGTACCTAAAGATCTAACAAAAAGTTTCTCTGGTTCTTTTGACGACATCCAGTTGTTCTCGTACCATAGGAATATATCTCATGCATTCACTCAAACAATTAACAATTGCCAAATCATTTCTTTCATATTGCTGCAACATGTCTCTTATGCATCGTTCATGGTCAGCCTTGAGTTGTAACAGTTCTTTATGTAACATTAAATTAGCCTGATGATGACGTTTATTGTCACAAATATAACTCTCTTCTTGAATCATTCTGTTAAAGCTGACCAAGAATGGATCATCTTTGGAAAGATGAACAATATGTATAAGGAAATGAGCAAAGCGTACCCTTGCAGTGAAAAGTTCTTGATCCAAAGTAGTGAGTTCGTATGACTGATAATTCAGTCTATCAACTGTCTCATAATCAAGTTCATAATCGATCCCAGCATGCTGTCTCGAATCACATGAGCAATCTGTGCATTGGTCTTGATATTCATGCAAAGCAGCACAAACAACCCAAAAGCTGCTATATCGTCGAATACGGCGAGAGCACAACTAGCATACAGCGGAAGGTCGTTGAATAGGTTTAGGATGGAGCTCAATAAATTTATTTAAAGATCCATGCTTGTGTAGAATGTAGTTTCGAAGAATATTGCGATTACATGTCTTCGGAGAATATCCCCGGAAACTCCATTATGTCCTAGGGTAAGAGGTAGATAGATAGATAGGTATAGGAGTTATAGGAGATATAGGAGGTAAAGGAGATATAGGAGGTAAAGGAGATATAGGAGGTATAGGAGATATAGGAGGTATAGGAGATAGAGGAGATAGAGGAGGTATAGGAGATATAGGAGATATAGGAGGTATAGGAGATATAGGAGGTATAGGAGATATAGGAGGTATAGGAGATATAGGAGATATAGGAGATATAGGAGGTATAGGAGATATAGGAGGTATAGGAGATAGAGGAGATAGAGGAGGTATAGGAGATATAG